AGGGGGGGGGGAGTCGCTGCCTGTGCGTGAACCCATCGCCGGTGAGCAGGAGTCATGATAAATCAAAACGAACGTAAAGAGATGATGGAGAACAGACGAGCCATCAGGATAAGGGTCTATCTCTGGGTCGGGGGGGTGGGGCCCGTGCTGCTACTGCCGAGCGAGCTCATTGGTTGGGCGGCGTGCATCAGCTGACCATGCAAGTTTATACCTTGGGTGTTCTCCTGAAGTCATAGCTGTGTTGGTCGAGGTTTTCATAGTTCCTGTTTTTAGTCTGATGGTAATGTGCACAGAGAGAATATGAAGACAGAAGATTACAGTCAGAAGGGAAGAGAGAAGCATCAACACAGGACTCTACAGGGGGTCCACCTGTCTGTCCACCTGTGGTCCTGTCTACCTGCGTGCCTGTCTGTCTGCTGTCTATCAGATGTGATCGTACTGCGGATGTTGTGTTCTTTTGTTATTGACCCTAAACATTAAAGATTGTTTTTAACAATAAGAGATGAATAAATTATTTGTATTCGTTGAGATAAAAATACTGCTGAGAACTTATTTTTAGAGGCGGCAGAGAACAAAGAACCAGAAGGTGTGTTTGATCACAGCGACGTCTCCAGAGGACATTGATCATGACTCCTTGGTCTCTACGCCAGAAAACACAGCAGAAGAAGAAGCTGTAGCTTCTGGAGAGGAACGGGGGGTCGTCGTGGCGCAGGGGTTAGAGAAGGTGTGCTGGGAAGCACACGGTTGGTGGTTCGAGTCCTGGCTGCCCCATGTTCCATGTTGAAGTGTCCCTGAGCAAGACACCTAACCCCTAATTGCTCCCCGGGCAAAATGTGAAAAAGCCGTGGGTTTAAAGTGTAATGTAAGTCGCTTTGGATAAAAGCGTCTGCTGAATGACCTGTAATGACTTGTAATATTGCTCACACAAGCTGTCATTGATGGGAGCTGTCAATCCTCACATCAGATGTTCTCTTGTATCCATTAAGAACAACGCCAAAATCAGCCTCTCATCCTGCTGTCTCTCCACCTTCAGTACTGTTACTCATACCTCACCTCCACCCCCTCGTAACCTCCATTGCCCCCCCCCCCCCTGAGCCCCGGGACGTTGGTCCATGCGTTAAATATTCATGCGTTTGGATGTTGTACTAGTACATATTAAGTACACTAGTCACGGGTCCATGCAGTGATTGACAGGTCCTTACTAGAGACGTACACTTCACTGGTTGATAAAAACAACAAGACGCCCTCACAAGGAGGTTCACTTACCGCCCCCCCACACAGCGAGGCGACCGCCATTGTTTCATTATGAATCACACGGATGCTTAATTCAGAAACTTTTCCTAATGTGCTGTAATATTCATGTTTCTCCTGCAAAATTCATGAGGCACATGGAGGCTCCGCTGGGAGACAGGAAGTCGCTTTGTTCCCTTTTCTAAAGCGTCTCTGGACTGTTTGTGTTTGACTTCCTCTAACTGGCTCACTGCTATTTAAATGATTCAGGTTGAACATTCTGTTCATACGGTCAGACTCAAACATTCGGATTGAAACATTGAGATTTAAATATTCAGACTCAAACATTTGGATTTAGACACTTTAGACAGTAAATCGGTACTAGGTACTTGTACTTTTACTAGTAATCGGTAATCGGAGTACTCAATACAGGTGAAAATGCTGACGGACTTAATGAACCCGTCTGTCCGTAGACGTCCTGACAGTGGAGCAGGTCAACAGCTGAGCGTGGAGAACGTTGGACAGCAGACAACAGAGAGAAGAGACGGACAAATAGAGATGTGGAGAGAGATAGAGAGAGATAGAGATGGATGGACGGCCTGATAGAGAGATCGTATACGAAGAGACGGATAGAGACAAATAGAGAAGGATGGAGATAGAAAGACAGGTAGAGATGGGCATATATATGTACATATATGTACATATATATGTACACATATATATATACATGTACATATATATATGTACATATACAGAGGTGTCAAGTAACAAAGTACAAATACTTCATTACCTTACTTAAATAGAAATTTGGGCTATCTATACTGAAGTATTTATTTTTCAGATGACTTTTTACTCCTTACTCCAAAAGCCTCGTTACTCCTTTTTCATTTTGGCTTGTTTTTATTGTTCTGTCAATTTTTGCTGCTTTCTCGAGAATTTCTACTGCGCATAAATCGATGGCTCTGTCTATCGATTCATGCTACCCTATCAAAACATGCTCATCTGTACATCAAATAAAGGCATAAAGTAAGTGTTTTTCCTCTCATGTGTCTAATTATAAAAAGTGTAATACAATTTATTTATATCAGGGGTAGCAGATTCCACATGTTATTACTACATGTTAATACTACATGTTATTACTACCTGAAGAAAGCTTGGGCAGTATGTTTGCTGTGAGCCCCTCTAGAACCATGTGCATGTCCCTGTGACACAGTGAGCTACATGCAACTATTCCAAATGTAACTTCAAGAGCTAAACCAGTGTGCAATCTGAGCTGTTTACCTTAAATAAGCCAAAAGCGCAAAGAAAGGGGGTTTGGGTGGATGTTTCTCACCATGTTTCTGCAAATGGAAAACGGACTACGGATAATACGACACAGACGGAGGATACACAGTCCGTGCAATTATTTCATATTTCATTTCACGAGAACGGTCATTGTACAATCTACACGCTCAATGTACTTTTCAACTTGGCCAAAAGAGGAAATAATGGGGATTTTGGGGATGTTGCTCCGTTAACACGTCGTTCACCGACAGGGTGGCAAAATATTATGTGCGTGTCAAAGAAACTTGGAAAATCGACTCGCCGCATGCGCAATACTACAAAGTCGCAGTTCTCGACAAGTAGCAGAAAATGATAGAACGCCGGCTTGTCGTGTTCAAAAACACACACACACAAACCCGTCCAGATACATTGTGCGATCCGGATAGAATGCATTCGATTGTGGTTGGATGAGAAGTATAAACACACAACCTCCAGACACCCGGTTGGTTTTCTCCAAAATCAGAGTGGCGGCGGGTCGACCGTCTCCTGAACGGCACAAGCCGACCTCAGTTGGGTATTTAGCCACATGCACATTCCATGAAACCTTAAATGAGTATCTTCATGACACAGAACCTTATTGAGAATGTGGCGCACAGCGACTTGCAAGCAGCGCAGCGTCTTCCCATCATTATAACAGCCCCCCCCCCCCCCCCCGGGAGACACTGTCCACCCGAACAATGTGTCCTCTGACTCGCTGTTCAACGGGGTCTGGTTTCGTACGTTCTGCAGCATGCGGGTCGATAACTCCTCCGCTGTGTCGTTTCCGCGTCTTCTGAAAGTCGCCATGGTTCCATCATCATAACAGACGCTCACTGAGACTGAAGGAACCTTCTGGACCATATTGTGAACTGACGTGTTCTGTGTTTCGGTTACACATAAACACTTTGTCCCCAATGGAAATACTCTTTGCGCTTTTATCTATGAAGAGGTTTGGAACACCGCACTTTTATAACGTTCACCTTAGGTGAACACCTTTGAGTTGATACTTCAACTTCTACAGAAGTCCTTTTAAACGCTACGAGTTAATTTTCCGGTGTTCGGAGTGCAGAGTTGAAATCACACTGTAAAAAGTTGATAGAACTCCTACAGAGTCATTTGTATGAAGGAGCTGGAGTCATTATTCAGAGTCGAGATCAGATTCATTGTCGACACTTGTGGACTTGTGGACCCACAAGGTTGGTGGTTCAACGCCCGGCTTCTCCATGTCAAAGTGTCCCTGAGCAAGACACCTAATCTCTAATTGCTCCCCAGGCTAAAATGTAAAAAGCATGGGTTAAAAATGCAATGTTAGTTGCTTTGGATAAACGTGTCAGCTAAATGACCTGTAATGAAAGAGCTAAAAAGATGGTGGCCGACCCCTCCCACCCCGGACAAAACCTGTTTGTGCCCCTTCCATCTGCAGGAGGCTGAGGTCCATCAGGACTAAGACCTCCCGCCACACCAACAGTTTCTTCCCGTCGGCAGTCGGGCTCATCAACAGAGCCGGTCCCCCACTGACTGACTCTGACATCACACCGGTCACTTTTTCTCACTGCACATGTCACTTTATTTTTTAATATTTTGTAACTTTTTAAATATTTGTAACTTTTTAACTTTATTCCCCTGTTTTGTTTTCTGTATATATAAGTAGAGAGAGATACAGAAGGATAGAGATAGAGAGATAGTGATTAGCGAGCTGGATCAACAGATAGAGATGGTACATGTGTTTTTATAATGTAATAAAAATCTAAAACGCAATGAGATTATGTGATTATGTTCTCTTTCCCGGAAAAGGTTCGCTTACCCAGGACCTGACAGTCAACTTTGGGAACTCCGTTCTAACGCCCACTCTGACCGCTAAGAACCTCGGCGTCACACTCGACAGCCGACTCTCCCTGACTCCACCATCACTGACAACACCATCCTGTAGATACTCGCTCTACAACATCAGGAGAACACGTCCTCTTCTCACTCAGAAGGAGGTACTGATTCAGGCTCTTGTCATCTCCCTCCTGGACTACTGTAACTCTCTCCTGCAGGTCTCCTGCTACCACCATTCCACCTCTGCAGCTCATCCAGAATGCAGCAGCTCCACTGGTCTTTAACCTTCCTAAGTTCTCCCTCACTCCTCCACTCCTCCGCTCTCTTCACTGGTACCGGTGGCTCATCCAGTTCTAACCATGGTGCTCACGTACCGTGCTGTGAATGGATGGGGTCCAGCTTCCATCCAGGACCTGGTCCAACCCGACATCCCGACCCGCACTCTCCGCTCTGCATGTGATAAACTGCTTGTTCCTCCTCACTGAGAGCAAAACACTCGACTAGATCTCCACTCTTTGCTGTCCTGCTCCTAAATGGTGGAAGGAGGTCTCTGAAGACATCAGGACCACAGAGAGCCTTCACATCTTCAGACTAAAGACACACCTCTTCAGACTCTACCTCCACTAAAGACCAACAAATTGTAGCACTTAAATTGTACTTGTAACGTCACTCATCTATAGCAAATTGTAAATTGGCTTATTTGAGGAAATTGCACTTTCTTGTTTCATGTTCTCCTGAGTTTGTACCCTATGGTTGAATGCACTTATTGTACGTCGCTTTGGATAAAAGCGTCCGCTAAATGACATGTGAATGTAATGTAAATGTAATGTGGGGCAGGTTACCCTGAAAGACGGTTTATCTGACAACATATGTAGAGTCTCTCGAGGCAATGTGGTCTCAGGGGGATGACGAGATACTCATGGACCATTTATTAGTCAACCAGAGGAGGGAAACAAAGGCCTCTGAAGCCGGACAGGTAGAGGAGCTCACCTGCGAGTGCCTGGTGGGCGGATTTTGGCATGTTGGTGCACGGCCAGTTGCACCAATCTGGAAGCAAAATGAGCTGGTTGTCAGCCCAAGGAACATGGACCTACCCATCTGTGGCCCCTAGGGAGAAGCAACATCTCCTCTCTAGTAGGTTCTAGATATGGGTGGGTGAAAGAGAAGGTTCTGGAAACAAACTGCTAGAGAGGGGCCGAGACCCAAACAAGAACCTTTTGGAGTCTCTGGGTGGAGGTCTGGAACGAGACTACTGAGACAGACTTTTCTGATGGCCTCAAGCAAGTCCAGCTGCATGACTCCAAGAGAGGCCAGGAGATGAGATACCTCCTGACTTGCCGAAGGCTCTGGAGGATTGTTGGGATGTCTTGGCTGACACTTGAGTGTTTGCTTTGAGATCAGGCACAACACACAACCGGAAGGTCTGAGTTCAGGTTCCTCTAGCGGTGGTCATCACCTTTGGGGCAGTTCAATGATCTCCCTTCTGAGGGAGTCTGAACTCAGCCTTAGAGACAAGGAGAGATCTCTCTTATAACGTTGTGATAATGGAGGAATTGTTGCTAACATGCTAACCCCCATGAGAAGAAATCTTCTGATCTGGGATGAACTCAATGCCTCTTTGTCTCCTCTTCCTGTAACGGACCCTCCTCTCTGGGTGAGACGGCGTCACTTTCAACCAGAGACGTTTCTACTGTGGTTTCATCTCCCAAGATACAAAAAATACAAACACAACTTTACTGCTTTTGCATTAATAAAGCTGCACAAGACAAAAATGTTTAAAAGAAATTCATGGGGATGAAACTCACGATGGAGGAGTGAAGTCATGACGCACACATACACACACGCACACACAGACTCGTTGTCATGCAACAACCAACCAACTTCTGGATTAGAATAAAGCACAGTCAGCACACACATACTGTGAGCTTGTGTGTTGTATACGAGTTTGTGTGAGTGTCTGTGTGCGTTAAGCTGACCTTGGTCTCGCGCTCCTCCAACAGCGTCTCCAGCCTCTTCTGGGCGGCTCGTCCTTCGTGGTCGTCGCTGACGATGAGGATGATGTGGTTCCACCTGAACTCCCTCATCAGGTCGAACCACACGTGGGCCTGGTGGGAGTAGGGGGGCACGGTCCTCAGGAAGGACAGGTGGATGCTCTGAAGGGAAGGAGGAGGAGGTCTTTATCAACGAGTAAACAGGAAGTGACACATCTGGGCTGGGGAAGATGAAGAGCTGTATACGCCCTAAGGCATCCCCTGCTTATGGTCTATTAGAGACCTGTCAATCAGCGTGTAGCCCCGCCCTAAGGCATCCCCTGCTTATGGTCTATTAGAGACCTGTCAATCAGCGTGTAGCCCCGCCCTAAGGCATCCCCTGCTTTATGGTCTATTAGAGACCTGTCAATCAGCGTGTAGCCCCGCCCTAAAGCATCCCCTGCTTTATGGTCTATTAGAGACCTGTCAATCAGCGTGTAGCCCCGCCCTAAGGCATCCCCTGCTTTATGGTCTATTAGAGACCTGTCAATCAGCGTGTAGCCCCGCCCTAAAGCATCCCCTGCTTTATGGTCTATTAGAGACCTGTCAATCAGCGTGTAGCCCCGCCCTAAGGCATCCCCTGCTTTATGGTCTATTAGAGACCTGTCAATCAGCGTGTAGCCCCGCCCTAAGGCATCCCCTGCTTTATGGTCTGTTGGTCTGTTTTGACTCTAAATGGATCATGATTTAGTAAATGTAATAAAACATCACGCTCTGTTAAAGAAGACTTGAAACTAGAGACTGAGACCATAAACTCATTTTTACAATGTTTACTGAGGGAATAAATCAAGAGAGAAGATGCTCCATCTCGCCACCGATTATCGGATTCTTATCATTTTCACACTGAAGCATTATTAAGGTCTTAACTCTCTGCTAAGAAATGTTGAGAGGGATCCACCATTGAACTAACCACTGGCTGTCCCTCCCCACAGATAGAACCACCATCACATAGAACCACCATCACATGTTCTATGTGATGGTGGTTCTATGTGATGGTGGTTCTATGTGATGGTGGTTCTATGTGATGGTGGTTCTATGTGATGGTGGTGGTCCCTGCAGTGGTCCTGCTGTGCGTCTGGTTTACTACTCACAGTTACTTGAATCATTTCTGTCATATAGTCTCATGTATTATACATTGTTCATTCTGTACACATGACATCATTGTAGTCTGTCCATCAGGAGACGGATCCTCCTCTGACGTTCTCCCTAAGGTTTCTTCCCTTTTTTCCCTCTTGGAAGGGTCTTCATTGTTTGGGGAGTTGTTCCTGTGCCGATGGTGGGTTTCAGGGCCAGAGGATGTCGTATGTGTACAGACTGCAAAGCCCTCTGAGGCAAATTTGTAATTTGCGATTTTGGGCTACACAAAATAAAATGAATTGAATTGAATTGAAACTTGAGGTCCTGGGTGATGATGGAGCCCAGGAGATGGAAGGAATCCACAGTGGTGACGGGGAAGTCACACAGGGTAATGGGGGAAGGTGGGGCTCTGTTCTTCCTGAAATCCACAACCATCTCCACTGTCTTCAGAGCGTTGAGCTCCAGGTTGTTCTGGCTGCACCAGGACACCAGATGGTCAGACTCAACGGGCCTGTAATCATTGAGTCCTGTGATCCTGGGCTTCTTGGGGACAGGGATGATGGTGGAGGCCTTGAAGCAGGCTGGTACGTGGCAGGTCTCCAGGGAGGTGTTGAAGATGTCAGTGAACACCGGAGACAGCTGGTCAGCACAAGGGTTTTGTCTTTTAAAGAGCCGGATAACGTCTCTCTCCAGAATAGAGAGGGTCCTTGCTGGTGGGGGAGGGGAAGGTGATATAGATGAAGAGGCGTGAGCACCTGATGGGCTGGGGTAGGGAGGATCAACACATGAGTTCTTCACATCAGGATGTTTGCAAGATGTTTGCGAGATGATTTGCATATGAGTGCTTGGTGCAGTTCTAGGTATGGACATGTTATTCTTAAAATGGGGAGCAGGTGCTTCATGTTGAAGTGAATTTGACCCTGATAGTGCTTCATCTTTTTGCAACATGTTCGTGTGCTGGTGTAATTTCATTCTAGCGTACGCATGCATGTTTATATTTTAATACTCAACAGTACTTAGCAAGTTCGTGTGTGAGATTTCCTTTGTTAAAGTCCCCGAGGACAATAACTAAAGAGTCTGGGTTGGTCCACTCCACACTATCTGGTCGGTGAACAGTGTTGTAGGATCACCGTTACGTCGTTGCACCAGCTGGTGATGAAGAAGAAGCAGATTCCTCCACCCTTCGTCTTGCCGGAGAGCTCCGTGTCGCGGTCCGCTCTGAGCAGCTGAAGCACAAAACGGAGGATGTAGAGAAGTCTCTGTCTCTCCTCACCAGCAGCTGCATTTCGTCCAGTTTGTTGCATAGTGAAGCACGTTGGAGAGAAAGATGCCTGGCAGCGAGTGCGAGAACTCACCAACGAGCCCGTTTTCCTCTCCTACGGCGTCTCACCGCGTGATGATACGTGAGCGCACCTTTGACTAGAATGTCCAGTAATTCCACGGAAGAAAGCAGGGAAGTTGGAAGTAACTCCGCGGAGTTGTTCCTCGGATGTTCAAGAGCTCATCTCTGGTGAAAGAGCTCCGGGAATCGCAGCAGGAAACATAATTAACAAAAACAACAAAAAACGAAGCACCGTGGCAGCCATTTTTCGGCGCCATCTTAGATCAAATGAAGGATCATAAAGGATCATGAAGGAGATGGAGGAAAGGAAAGAGAGGAAGGATATGAAGGAGAGGAAGGAAAGGAAGGAGATGAGGAGAGGAAAGATAGGAAGGAGAGGAAGGAGATGAAGGAAACAGATCTGTTTGGAAGTGATCACGCCCGCGTTCACTACCTGAATTGTTCTTAGCCACTGTGCTGCGTCCTTCCCTGATTCGTTACTGTCACCAGCACGCCCAGTGTACTTTAATGGTCATGTGATAGACTAGTGGAGGCAGATCATTTCAAAGGATGCTGAAATGCCCGAGTGGACTGAGATGGTTTTAAGAGATGGACCCTCAGTGGAGAATGTGAGGGGACAAAAGACGGTGCCCTGAGGAACACCATGATGCAGAAACCCTTCAGCTGAAAGCCCTGTGTGGTGCGACACCATAACCGGTTACATAGGACATAATCCTGGTCACGTATGACATCACCCTGGTCACACATGACATCATGCTGGTCCCGTCATAGCATGAAAAGATGCGGTGGGGTTACCTTTGTCTGAGTAGATGGACATCCGGGTGGTCAGGCCCACCACAGGGATCCGGTAGAAGCCGGCGGTGTAGGAGACGGGGGTCGGGGTCAAGTGGTCGTTGGACTGAGGAGGATGGCTGACCAGGATGGCGTACACCTGCAGGGGAACATCCACCTTTACTCCACCTCATTTGATAATCACTGAGCAGAGTAACTAATTATGGTATGTTAAGAGATCTTAACACAATGCGTTTGTGTTTAAAGCCAACAAACCAACTCTCATTATGATATGAAAAGAAAATGTTGTCATTATTTTAATAATGTCATTAACATTAATGAGGTTAATAATGTTAATAATATTGAAATAAATATTGTAAATATGAAATTACGCCTTTTTTTCATTTTGATTTAATATCTCACTATTTTTTACAAAACAAAAAAGCTATGTTTTAACTTTTATGTTTTATATTGGATGTACGAGAATAGAAATATTAAATAATCTCTACATCACATGTAGAGAAACCGCCTTCAGTAAACACACTTTAAAACATTGTGTCTGTGTGTACGTGCAGATGTGTGTGTGCATAATCCCCCATCTCTCCTCTGGACGGATTATATCTCAAATTCTACAGCAAAAGAATGATAATCTGACATCCAATTGTCTCTCCCCGTCCTTCCCCCCTGGCCGGCTCACGCGTCTCACCTGGTTGGAGATCAGGTCCTCGCAGACTGAGAGGGCCATCTGGATGGCGTTGGGCTTGTGTGTGACGGAGATGCCGTTCATCCTGAACTTGTCCTTCCCGTAGAGCGCGTTGGCCGAGGTCACCGCCTCCTTGAAGACCTGCTCGTAGCGCTTCTGGCTCAGCACGGCGCCGATGTTCACCAGGCGCGGCTCGCAGCCGCCGAGCGCCAGCGAGCAGCTTTGCAGCACGGCGAGGAGGAGCACGCCGCGCGGCCCCACTGGGGACGGAGAGCAGCAGGGGCCTTTGAGCTTGATGCTATTTGCAATGCTAATACTGAAATAAGCACTTCCTGTGAGCCTAAGCTCATATTGGTGGACGCTAAGCCTGCTACACTAACGGCAACACTAATGCTAACATTAGCGTAGTAAGACAGCGTTCAGCGATACGAGCTGAGGCCTCGTGGGAAGTCTGTAGGCGATGAACGTTGTCAGAACGGCACAAGCTGATCTCAGTTGGGTGTTTCTAAAGCCGCATTAAGACAAACATCCCTTTATTTAAGACGCTGCGCTACTTGCAAGTCGTTGTGATCTGCTAGATTGTCAATAAAGTTAGAAAAAAAACATGTACGGCGAACCCGCGGTCACGATACTCATTTAACGTTACGTAGTATTTGCATGTCACTAAATAGCCAACTGAGGGATTATGCCGTTCTGACAAAGGAACCTGCCACCGACCACCTTTCGCTCTGCTAGTTGAGTCATGCTAACGCTACGCTAAAAACATGAAGGAGAAGAAATACAGGAAATATGTCACAGAATCAGAAGAGGCAATATATCACTAACATAATACGACGATAACGCCACATTAAAAGACAATGACGGCGTGCGAAGGAACATAAATAAATAAAAACACAAATGTAAATGTGTGCACCCTATTCTCTACAACAGGAGTTTATGTTCTCAGTCTCTAGTTTCACGTCTTCTTCAACTCAGCATGATGTTCATTCAGTGAATGATGGTCCATTTAGAGTCAAACGCTAATTGGCAGGAAACAATATCGAGAAGGACTAAATTGTTAACTGGAAGCTTCAAAACATCCAAGAACCGACGAGACGTCACCATGACGACCTCCACTTAATACGACGCTGAGGCCCGACCGACGGGAAAGTGACACGCAGATAATAATCCACCATTTTGGACTCTCCGACCAATCAGAAGACAGCAAACTGCCAAAGGTGAAATGTTCACCTGTGAGCGAATCACACAACCTCAAATTATCAAATTATCAAACGTCATCATGTTTTTGGGGGGCAACAAGGTGAAGCCACGCCCACAAACCTGTTTTTTGATTGACGCCGCTGTCTGATGCTGCGTTCTGATTGGGTCTTAAACAGACTTTATTCCTTTAACTGTGACAACAAATGTAGTATTGTCACTTTAGTCTGTGATTTTAAGAAATCTTAACCCTTTATCTGATATTTTAATTTCTCACAGTTAGCTTTCATCTTTTTAATCCTCTTTCACAATCATGCAACAGGAAATGTAATCTGACATTTAATCCATAAACAGCAGAAGAAGAGAACCGACACAATACGTTTCACTTTTCTCCTCATTGATTTTGCTTATTTATTCCGTTTCTCGGAGGCGATGAGAGCGACTAATAAATACCCATGAGTATGGATGAAGAGTAACCACGGTGATGAAGATGAAGATGAAGCATCTCACTCACTGTTGCTCTTCGTGCGGCTCTCCGGTACCGAGCCTCTCCTGTTGATTGTCCCCGCCTGTGATTCGTTTACCGGTAACGGCCCGGTACCGTCACATGTCCCGCTCCGGTTGGGTCCGCTGTCTCTTGTCCTCTCGGTGAATAAATTGACGTCACCGTGTCCCGCGGTTTCTTCTTCTGTGGTGATCACGCGCCGCTTCACTCAACACAAAGAGAAAATCAATGAATGTGATTTATCGATTGATCGGCTCATATTTTGAAGCTCGTGCCCGTCGCTCCCGTTGATGCTCGCGGACTTCCAGACGACCTGAAGCTCTCGTGCCCGCGGTGCGTCCTTGGAAGCTGACGCTCGCTCCCGCGTGCTCTTGGCTCGCAAGAGATGAGGCGTGCGGCCAGTGGAGCGCGTGCACGCCCCCCCCCCCCCCCCTCCTTTCTGTGGGGAATTAATGAAGTGACACGTGCTCGTGGCAGCGCGCTCACATTTCGCCACACTGTGAATGTCATATTTAAATTAAATATTCATTTTTAATCCATTATGTCGGGTTGTATCCCGATCATATTATTTATTCATGGATGAGTTCCATTTAATCATCTATTAAAAATAAAATCCATGAAACTGACCAGATTCATCATCCAGAGGTTCTGGAGCTTCCTCCATGTCACATGGTCTTCATCAGCAGAGGATCCGAGGATCAATCAATATGATCAACAGGGTGTCCAACATCAGAAGGTCAACAGTTGAAGTTAATTTTCAGTTTTCAACTGTTATTTATTATGCATGCTTTAATTATATATATATATATATATATATATATATATATATATATATATATATATATATATATTCATATATATTTCGTACGTCAAAATAAAGTAAGAATATTTATTCATATGGTTGTGTTTTTTGTAAAAAACTGTAAATAACTTTGTTCTAGATGAAGGTTAAAGAGAATAAAGACGCGTTAGGACAGACAGACCAATACGTATCTCTGTAATCAATAATCAATGTGAGACCAATGAGAGCTCCTTCTTCTTCTCTTTTTAAATCACACTGCGGCCAGCATGCGTTGTTGCCATGGGGACAGGATGCAGCCCCACATCTCCACTTCGGTTGCCGAGGAAACAGGCCTGTCCCACTGCCCCCCATCTCCCCCATCCCCTCTGCTCACACACACACACACACTGTGTTTACACACAGGAGGCGGGGCTTATGAGGATGATTCTACACCTTTAGACAGCTTGGCAGGTCATGTGATCTTAATTCCAAGATGACACACCTGTGGTTTGAGGTGGTCATTAATATTGTTCTTCATTTGGCAGGAACATTATAACAGGATGAATTTGCAAAATGTCCTAATGTTGCCAACATTTGATATTTTGAGGTACAGATATATTTAGAAAAAATGTTTTATCTACAGCAGCGATTCCTAAAGTGTGGGCTGCGGCCCCCTGGTGGGCCGCGAAGGTACTGCAGGTGGGCCGCGAGACGTCATTTACAATAAATTAAAAAAAGTTTTTAATTTTCAATTTTGAAAAGTTTGAAATTAATATAAAAATATGTATGATGCGGCACATTAGTTATGTGAAACATTAATTGATGAAGCACAAACAATTTAAACTTAATCGGTTGATCCATACTGGTTGTACACGGCGCTCAAGGCGCTCTGCCAAACACGCCAAAGCTCGTCTACGACGGCGAGATGTTGAGCGGCGCTCAAGCGCGTGAGATACGGAGCTGCTTTCAGGGCGCGTCGGAGAAACAAAGCTGTCGTTCTCGCCGAGCACTTCATGAGATTAAAGAGCGAGAGACGGCGCCCTTTTCTCTACAGTAGCTGAACCATCTTAACGGGGAAATAAGTTATTCTAAAAGCAGCCGAAGATTTAAGGCGTGGATGGCGAGGGGGGCAGCGGGAGCGGACGCACCTCATCGATCGGACCCTGAAAGCACCGTCTTATTGTGCGGAAAACACGGCACATGAGCTCCGGAGAAAATGGTTTACAAAACATACATTGTCGGTTAATACATCTTGAATCGGCTAAATTCTTAAGGTCATTTAATCATCTCTAGTTTATGTTTTGATCAGAGTTGTGATTAAAGGTTTGGAAAGGTTTCGCAAAAGATTTTCAGATTTCAAGGTGGGCATCCTTGAGTTGGTAAACTGCTGATCTACAGCATCTGTATGTTAGCTTCCGTCTGTTAGCTTCCGTCTGTTAGCTTCTGTATGTTATCTTCCGACTGTTAGCTTCCGTATGTTAGCTTCCGTCTGTTAGCTTCCGACTGTTAGCTTCTGTATGTTAGCTTCCGTCTGTTAACTTCCGACTGTTAGCTTCCGTCTGTTAGCTTCCGTCTGTTAGCTTCTGTCTGATAGCTTCTGTATGATAGCTTCCTTCTATTAGCTCCCGTATGTTAGGATCTCTTTATTAACTTTCATTTGTTAACGTTTGTTCATTAGTTTTTAAAAAATCAGCCTGTTAGCTTTAGCCTGTTAGCTTTAGCCCGTTAGCTTTAGCCTGCCATGGAAGCTTCTTAATGACATCGCCGTGCTGATCTCGGCGGTGAACAGGAACTAGGACACGTTTGAGCTCTCTTTCATCTCTCTGGTGCTTAGTATCATGAGGAGAGAGTTCAGCTTCCAGGCCAGTGAGTACACACAGACACACACACAGACACACACACAGACACACACACACACACAGACACACATACACACACAGACACACACACACACACAGACACACATACACACACACACACACACACACACACAGACACACACACACAGACACACACACAGACACACACACAGACACACACACACACAGACACACACACACACACACACTCAGACACACACACTCACACACTCAATGACGCTCTTTTTGTTTCCAGCACAGCGTGTTGCGAAGCGAACAGAGAGATGCATGCTGGGACGCCTTTGTAGTGCGCCAGGTCCCTGGAGGGGGCATGTCGGTGTGCGTGCGTGTCTGTGTGCGTGTGTGTGTGTGTGTGTGTAGCTGGTTGCACAGTCTGAAGTGTCGGGCAGCATCACAGTCACACGGCAGCCTGCAGCGTCTCCAGCGCTCTGCTTAATGTGGAGGCCACAGCACCAGAGACCAGCTGAGGACCACCACACACAAACCTGCAGGGTCCTTAAAGAGTGAAGGACACACGAGTGAAAACACGATGACCTCAACTAATAGTGAGACTAAGACAAGCTCATAAAATCCATCCTGAATCGCTTGTCTCGGTCACTTGATAATTACAGCAAATCCTCAAGCTAGAAGAAAGGAGCAAAAAACAGAAGAAGAAGGGTCTACAAAGAATAAAGCTTCATTTGGAAGTAACAGGAGTCACACTTAAAATAGAGCTTTATCCCGTCAGCTGATTCGCTCCGCCTTATGGATGTATGTTTTCATGGTGATTGTATCTTTTTATTTTTTGTGTGTTTATCGAAACACCTCGAAAACCGGTCAACAAAATATGGGCTAACATGTTTAACAAGGTGTTAAAGCTGCATCCTCTGTAGTGACCAGCAGGGGGCGACTCCTCTGGTCCCATAGAGGTCCATGAGAAAACGACTCTACTTTATTCCCTCAAGTAACTTCATGAATTTCTTCAATGATTAAATTCAACCAGTGCCGACCTGTCCTCCGATGTAGGAACCTTGGATGCAGCAGTGGGCCCTGATGCCTGTTTGGATGCCTTCTCTTCCATCAACCTTGATCTTTCTTCTTTATTTTCAAAGTCTAAATCTTCTACTTGTCTCTTGAATCCGATTCCGACCAAGCTGCTTAAGGAAGTTTGTCCTTTAGTTAGCACATCCTTATTAGATATTATGAGTCTTTGTTGACAGGACATGTACCACAGTCCTTCAAGTTGCTGTAATTAAACCTCTTCTTAAGAAACCTACTGTTGCTCCAGAGGTGTTGGCTAACTACAGACCTATCTCTAATCTTCCCTTCCTCTCTAAGATCCTTGAGAAATCCGTCGCAAATCAATTATGTGACTTTCTACAAAACAATGCTTTGTTCCAGGATTTCCAGTCAGGATTTCGAGTGCATCACAGTACAGAAACGGCACTGGTGAAAATGACGAATGATCTTCTACTTGCATCGGACCAAGGACTCATCTCTTGTCTTGCTGGACCTCAGTGCCGCATTTGATACCATAGACCATTGTATCCTGTTGCAGAGACTAGAACATTTAATTGGTATCAAAGGAACTGCACTCAGCTGGTTTAAATCCTACTTATCGGACCGATCCCCGTTTGTGCTTGTAAACGGTGAATCCTCAAAGACCACCAATGTTGGTCACGGAGTCCCACAAGGTTCTGTACTTGGACCGATTTTATTTAACCTCTATATGCTGTTTCCAATCACCTGCACCTCCCCAGTGTATTTAAGCCATGTGTGTCTGTTTTTGCGTCATTATTAATTGTACGGAAGCCCATGTCCACGTCATAGTTCCTGTCTCCTGTTTCTCGACTACGTTTTGCCTTTTTGGAAATTTTAGTTTAGAATTTTTTACTATTAAAGTCCCTTTTTGTTGCTGGAAAACTCTGCGTCTGAGTCCTACCTTCCCGAATGTACCTTCCTGACAGACGATTCTCAACTGTATCTGTCAATCAAGCCAGAAGAGACGGACCAGCTAGTTAGACTTCAAGAATGTCTTGGAGACATCAAAACTTGGATGACCGGCAACTTCCTGATGCTAAACTCAGAAAAAACGGAAGTTATCCTGATAGGCCCAGAGCGCCGTGGAAGCCAGCTGTCACGTGATACAGTTTCTATGGATGGAATTGCTCTGGTACCCGGCAGCAATGTCAGGAATCTTGGAGTTCTCTTGGACCAGGATATGACCTTCAACTCGCATATAAAGAAGACTTCAAGGACTGCCTATTTTCATCTACATAACACATCGAGACTTCCTGTCTCAAAGTAATGCAGAAAAACTAGTTCATGCGTTTGTTACTTCTAGACTGGATTACTGTCATTCATTATTGTTTGTGTCACAATGAAATGTAGTTTGAACTGCTTGAAAAAGTCCATTTGAGTTCCAGTTTGTGACAGAATAAAATGGGGAAAAGTCCAAGGGGGGGTGAATATTTCAGCTCTGTATATGTGAATATAGAATGTATATTTATCAGTTAACCTTTTCCCAAAATCAGGGGAAACATATTGGAAGAATAATATTTTATTGCTCACTTTGAAAACAAAATTAGCTAAAAAGCCAAGGAGCTGATGATGATGATGATGATTTCTTTGTTCCTTCTGATTGGCTACATTAACGGTAAACTCCTGCTGCTTTCTCCTGGAAGCCATCACATTCATTCTATAACAACCTTAAAGCATTTCTCTCTGTATTCCAAAATGTCCTTTTAATAACGAACAAAAGAGGAATTAATGAAGATTAAAGAGTCGTGTAGACGTGCCTGATAAACATACAAACAGCAGCCTGATGCTCCACCAGTCCAGTGGTGCGTTCACAGGCGCTCCGACATCCGGAAGAATTGTGTTCTCATCTGACATTAAAGGGTTGAAGCTGATATGAGTGACGTTGATGAGTGAGTACAAGATCATTTCATACTACTACAGGAAATAAACATCTAGCTGCAGGAGCGACAGAGGAAGACTTTACATCATCAAACTAGAGTCCAGAAAATGATGCTAACACGTTAACAGGCTAACAGGCACAAGGCGCTTGAATAAAGGCTGTGACGGATGTCCAGTGGGACCATCTTGGTCCTTGTCATCTTCTCACAGAGGAGCAACCCCCTGGTGGACATTAGGGAGAATGCAGCTGGAGCATCTGGTCTCTGGTTCATGCCACAGGAATGTGGACATTTGGACTAAATGAAGACACAAGCTGAAGAAGAAGAAGCAAATGAAGACCAGATGCTGGATCTCATCTCCTCTATGGGATCTTCACCATCACGTTGGTGTATGGCGAATCCTCCTCTCCCTCCTTCTCCTCCTCCTGCTCTCCCTCCCCGTCTTCTTCCTTCCCTTCTTCGTTGGTGCTGCGCGCCGCGAGCAGCGCCCTTTTGGCCCGTTTGGGCACGGCATAGTCATCAACGCAGGGGTTGTACGGGTATTCGTGACCTTTGGGGTCAGCCTCCGTGCCCATGACCCTCCAGGCGTCTCCCCTCACCTCCTCCGGGTCGTCGTACAAGGAAGCGGGGACGGCGGGGGCGGCGCAGCTCTCGGGCTCGTCGTAGATGTGCTCCAGCTTTCTGTTAGCCGCCCCGGCGTCGCCGCTTGGGAAGACGTTCCTGATCTTCATCTCGTCGATGCTGTCGTAGAGCGGGTCGGGGCCGGGCTCCGCTCTCTGACCTAAGATCACCGAGGGCGCGCCAATGGTGTCGAAGGGGAGGGAGTAGCCCGGATCCTGTGGAGGGACCGGAGGGGGGGCTGGGGGGGGCACGGCGCTGTCTCCCGGCAGGACGATCTGGGAGTAGGTCTTGTGGGGGCCCGGCTCGGCGTGGGGTAGGGGGAGGCTGGAGATCATCTTCACCTGGTTCTTGTGAGGGGGCAGGTGGCCGCGGGTGTCCAGGGTCAAACTCTTCACCCCCGTCAGCATTTTTTCCACCGGGGGCTCCAGTCGGGTCTGAAGACGGAGCAGACGGAACCAGTTGAAAAGTGAACCGGAAGTCGAGCGCGGAAACGAAACGGCCGCTAGCTGCAGTCCGTGACGTCAAGATGGAAGTCAAACAAACAGGCGCGACACACAGCAGAGACCCGAGCAGAGGAAGGGGGGCGAGTGGCAAACGGACCACTTAAAGCACGCTAAGCTAGCTATGCTAAGCTAGCTATGCTAAGCTAGCTGCTAGGCTACTTCCATCTCGACATCTAACGTTCCACACAGCCTGCAGAGGACCACTGTGTCCCTAAAGGACCTGCTGAATGTGGGACATTGTTGGACTTCAAACACGTTAAATGATGGAGAGCTGAGAGCAAAGAGCAGGAGGACGAGTCGCAGTTCAACGCGTTCCAACAGGTGGAGTTCTGTGTGTAAAATACACGTTTTCTACTCTGACTACAAACATTCATTACAAACAACATTGTAACGACATTTATCAATCGTCATTAATCGGGATTAATGAATTTCAAAGTGTGTGATTAATTAGTTAATGTATTTGTAATCTATTGAAAGCCCTAACATATATATATATATATATATATATATATATATATATATATTCAACTCATTTTATTTTTCTTTAGCCTCAGAGGGCTTTACAGTCTGTACACACACAACATCCTCTCACCTTTGACCCTCAAATCGGCACAGAAAAAACCTCTAAAAAACCCTTAATGTGGAAAAAGGAGGAAAGCTGAGTGAGGCAGAGGAGGGTCCGGCTGCAGAGGACAGACTACATGACGTATGTTGCAGGAAGGAGTAGTGTCCCACCTGGAGGCGCTGCTGTGGTTTCTGATGCGAAGGGGAGGAGCTGTCTTTGTCTCGATGATGACTCTTCTGTATGGTTGGAGTTTGGCTCACCATGCTGTAGACGTCATCGACTCCCTGCACACAGAAAACAACGACTGTTATCGGATACAACATGTAAGAAGTAAAGACTCTTATTCTGAAGGTCTAACTTCATTCCTGAAAGCATGTCTTTATGTTCATGTCCTGATGCATCAAAAGTCCTGAGCTCATACTTTGTTTTCTAAATGAAATCTTTCCCAGAAGTTGATTCATCGTGTTGCGACTGGAAGCGTGCGGAGACGCTGTGAACCCACCTGAGCAGCTGCAGATTGTGGCACATGGCCCCGCAGTTGTGGCAGCGGGGCCGTCCTGCTCGGGACCAGGGGGGGGTCCTCAGCGGCCTCAGGACCGGCCTGGTAGGAGGTCTGTCTCTGAGGGAAGGAGATCCGCTGCCGGTTGATGGCGGACTCCACCGCCTGGAACAGGAAGTTACCTCGTTGGGTCTCAAACTCAAAGCTGCCCTCGCCGGAGTCACACCGCCGGCCGGCCTCAAAGGAGAAGGTGGACTAGAGGGAGGGGGGGGGGGGGGGTCAGCGCGTGTGCGTCTCTGTGTGTGTGCGTCTCTGCGTCTCTGTGTGGGTCTCACCTTGTCCCGTCCGAAGCGTCTCAGGTACCTGTATGGCCAGGTGAGCACCTCCTCCCCGCTCCTCCCCAGGAGCAGCAGAGCGTCCACGTCGGCTCGCAGGAACCCGTCTCCCTTCAGCCGGCATCGCTCCGAGGCCTCGGTCCTCCGGACGCACACCCGGACGTCACGCACTGACCCACACACAGACACACAATGCAGAGCAGATTCATCAAACCCACATGGAACGAATATACACAACATGTAATGTAATCTGTAACATCTCCAGACGTCCTGCACTTTGACACTTCATAAAAACATCTCGTCTTTGAATGGACATCAGGATCAGGATCAGGATCAGGATCAGGATCAGGATCAGGATCAGGAAACAGGATCAGGAAACATTTATTGCCAAAATATGTCAAACATACAGGGAATTTGTCTTGGCGGTTGGTGCGCGACAGTAGACAGTGTAACAATAGACAACTAGACAGCAGTGAACCAGTAATAAAATAAAGTGGAATGAAATGCTGATGCAATGGGTTAGTAGAATAAGGATATGGGTTAGTAGAATAAGGCTATGGGTTAGTAGAATAAGGTTATGGGTTAGTAGAATAATGTTATGGGTTAGTAGAATAAGGCTATGGGTTAGTAGAATAAGGCTATGAGTTAGTAGAATAAGGATATGGGTTAGTAGAATAAGGTTATGGGTTAGTAGAATAATGTTATGGGTTAGTAGAATAAGGCTATGGGTTAGTAGAATAAGGCTATGGGTTAGTAGAATAATGCTATGGGTTAGTAGAATAAGGCTATGGGTTAGTAGAATAAGGATATGGGTTAGTAAAATAATGCTATGGGTTAGTAGAATAAGGATATGGGTTAGTAAAATAATGCTATGGGTTAGTAAAATAATGCTATGGGTTAGTAGAATAAGGCTATGGGTTAGTAGAATAAGGATATGAGTTAGTAGAATAAGGCTATGGGT